AGATAGAGAGAGAGACAGACAGAGAAAGAGAGAGACAGACAGACAGAGAGAGAAAGACAGACAGACAGACAGAGAAAGAGACACAAACAAACAGACAGAAACCAGACAAACAAAGATAATCGAACCAGACGTAGACCAAGAGAGGAGAGAAGAGCAAAAGAGAGCGGGCGACAGCAGGGAATAAATAAAACCGAAAAATCCGGCACCAAAAGTACTTTCCTCTCCCGCGACTGACAAACGATCCAGGAGCGAATTCATCTGTCTTTTTGGCGTCGTCGGACAGAGCGTCTGTGACGTCTGGATTAGAATTTTGAAAAAGGGGGGGCGTAAGTGTGTGTTTGTGAGGGGGGGGGAGGGGTAAACATGTGCAGACATGGGGAGACACACACGAGTAAAGGCGTACATGATCTCTTTCTATTGCAGAAACACACAGACCATAATGATCATCATGGTGATGATGATATTGATGGTGGTGATGATGATGATGATGATGATGATGATGATGATGATGATGGTGGTGATGATGATAATGATGATGATATAAAATGATCTCTATTATTCCTCGATCAGAATTACGTTTAAAGGTCAGTTCCAACGAAATTCAAATACGTACAATAACAACGACAAATACAAACAAGAGCATTTATTATTATTATTATTATTATTATTATTATTATTATCATTATTAATGATATTATTATTATCATTATTATTGTTATTATAATTATTATCATTAATATTGTTATTATTATTATTATCATTATTATTATTGTTATTATTAGTATCATTATTATTTTGTTTATTTATTATTATCTTTTTATATAATATCAACTCGATTTAAGTTCCAGCATATTCTAAAACCCGCTCTCATCCTTTCGAGATAAAATCGTCACAAAAAAAATAAAATAAAAGATAAAAAAATAAATATCTAAATAAATAAACAAATAAAATGAAATAATGGAAAAAAAATACAAAACTACAAAAAAATACGATCTCCGGATCAGTATTGACCTCCGTCCCAATCTCACCCAAGAAGCACCTTAAAACAACAGAGATTCCCTGCTGCAAAGCGATTCAACATGCATTTGCAAGTTCCTGCATAACTAGTGGAAGACATAGAACTACTGATGTAATTTTGGAGGGAAAGTCGGTGAAGTGTTCGTGTGTGTGTGTGTGTGTGTGTGTGTGTGTGTGTGTGTGTGTGTGTGTGTGTGTGTGTGTGTGTGTGTGTGTGTGTGTGTGTGTGTGTTCGTGTGTGTGTGTGTGGGGGGTGGGTGTGGTGTGTGTTTGTTCGTGTGTGTGTGTGTGTGTGTGTGAATAAGCGTGTTCGAAAGTGTCATCCTGGCTTCGGTTTTAAATAAACAATTTCCTTCTATCGCGCGTAACTCAAACTGCCAAGGAGAAATGGTGATGGAAAGCGTTTTGATTAATTCAATTCACTTACACTCATCCACACTCCATCACACACAACCCCATTCACTCTTCCTTCTCTCTCTCTCTGTCTGTCTGTCTCCATCTCTCTCTTTCTCTCCATCTCTCTCTCTCTCCCTCTCTCCCACTCTCCCTCCCTCCCTCCCTCCCTCCCATCCTCCCCCCTCTGTCTCTGTCTCTCTGTCTCTGTCTCTCTCTCTCTCTCTCTCTCTCTCTCTCTCTCTCTCTCTCTCTCTCTCTCTCCCTCTCTCTCCCTCTCTCTCTCCCTCTCTCTCTCCCTCCCTCCCTCCCCCCTCTCTCTCTCTCTCTCTCTCTCCCTCTCTCTCTCCCTCTCTCTCTCCTTCCCTTTCTCCTTCCCTTCCCTCCTTTTCCCTCCCTCCCCCCCTAAAATCTCACACACACACATATATACACACACACACACACACGTGTTTTTCTTTAATTTTCTTTTAATCTTTTTAACCTACAAGATTATCTACAAAGCTCTCATACCATACTAAATAAAAAAGAATAAAATCTGATAAACCTGAAGAAAAAAAATTAAGTCGAACCTTTGAAAGTCTGTAACGCATAAAAAAAAAAAAAAAATAGTCAAGAGTACCTTTAAGAACATTAAAGAACACGGCAGGAGATGAGTCCTAAGAATCACATTCTTTGGTCTTCTTCACTACTTTATCTTTTATCTCTTCCTATGTATACTTTGTTCTTTCTTTCTTTTATTCCTTCTCTTTTTCTTCTTCCTCTTCCGCTTTTTTCTTTTTTTTCGATTTTTTTTTCTCTCCCTCCTCATCTTCCTCTTTTTCTTTCTCTTCCTTCGCTTCCTTTTCCTCCTCCTTCCCTTTGTCCTCTCTCTCCTTCCTCCTTCTCCACCTCTTCTATCTTCTTCATCCTTCTCCACCTCCAATCTTTCCTTCATTCTTCTCCACCTTCTCTCTCTCCTTCCTCCTTCTCCACCTTCTCCTCTCTCTCCTTCCTCCTTTCTTTTCTTCCTCCTTATCCCCTCCCTTTATCCCGTTCCGAGATGCAGATACAATCTCTAATATTCTTAAACAACTCTTATACTCCAATTATTATCTCGTTCTTGAAAGATATTAATTCTAAAGTGCACGATGGAGGGTTGAGTTCTACACCCACCCCCACCTTCCCTCCTTTCGTGCCCCCCCTCCCCCCCTTCCCTCCTCTTGTGCCCCCCCCCCCCACCACCCCTCCCGTTCCCTCCTCTCTTGCCCCCCCTCCCCACCCCACTTCTC